CTGCCTGGAGGGAGGGGGCAGAGGCTGGAAGGGTGTTCAGAGCATTCCAGGAAGAGCGCTGCTGGCTGAGAGATGAGGATGGTGCCAGCACCTCCACTGAGGGCTGCTGAGAGGGCCGCGCGGGGTCACTGACTGCAAAGCTGTGCAACGGGTGGGCCATCCCTCGGAGCTGCCGGCTCCCCGCCGGTTTGCCGGTGACCACAGCTACGTTCCCAAGGTCCCAGTGCAACCGGGAGACCAGAGGACCTATTTCAGGCTCTCTGGCAGCGTGCCCGAGCCAGTAGCTTCGGCTTCCGAGGGGGACGCCAGCAGAGCCCTGAGACAGCCCAGCTGGCTCCAGGCTGGGGACCTTCCCTGGAAAGTCTCTTGCAGAAAGAGACGGAGGCTGGAACAGGCCTAAAGAGCCCCCGTGCCAGCACCACGGCTCCCAGGGCCAAGGAGAGGGGAAGAGAAAGGACAAGAGTGTCCTTAGCAAAATGGGCCATGTCTACACGGGGTCCCTCACAGTGCAGGACACCCGGACAGGGGCCTATAGGAAGCGCCGCACAAGGAAGACAGTTCTGCAGGTGACCGGCTACAAAGGGGCCTTTGCGAAGGGCTGGCCCCCGCGGGTGCCCTGTTTCCTGCACAGCGCTGGGCAGGAAGAGACCAGAGCTCTCAGAGAACCAGCATATTCAAAGGTGCTACAGGGCCCCAAATAACAAAGCAGAAAACTCTTCCCAGTTTTCTCTGTGCCCTTCTGAAATACCACGTCAACTGCCTAAATCACACCTGTTTTTCAGGTAAAACATTGCCCTGCTTAAAAATACATATGGTCCTAGCCGGTTTGGCTCAGTGGTTGGAGGGTCAGCCTGCGGTCCACAGAGTCCCGGGTTCGGTTCCCGCTAAGGGCGCGTACCTCGGTTGCAGTTTGTCCCCAGCCCTGGTTGGGTCGTGTGGGTGGCAGCCACCCGATGTATCCCTTTCACATTGATGTTTCTCTCTCCCTCCCACTCTATCTGAACAAAAAAATGGAAAAATGTCCTCGGGTGAGGATAAAAAAGAAAAAAATGCATATGGCCTGTAACCACTCCTAGAATGCATCTGAAAATAAGTGCAGGTTTATACATAAGGATATTCAATGTGGGGCACATCCCGGACCCACACTGACTGGGTCTATGGCCACGAGCTTGTTACTTAACCTCTCCAGCCTGTTGTCTCATCTTGACCCGTGACAACACCACAGCCTATCGTGAAGATTCACTGGGAAAAACCTTGACAAGAAACCTGGCTCAGAGGAGGACCTCAGTAAGTGTTTGCTGTTATGATTAAGAGCAAAAATGAGGGACAAACGTCCAACAGTAAAGGATTGGTCAAAAATATATGGCACAGCCATACGGCTGCATATTACACAATTGCTAAAATGTTTTCTTAGATTGTTCATGAACATTATAAAATTATCATAGGTTAAAAATTAATGTTAAAATGGATAGTAAATGTTTGTAGTGTATGTTCCCAACTTTATGATGGAAATAGACACGTATTTTTAAAAGGCTGATGGGAAATTTAACAAAAATAGTGATTACAGCTGTGTAACGGGATTCGCTCCCGTTAGCTTTGCGGCCGTCCTACCTCTCCCGGTTTCTACAGGGACGAGGCATTACTTCACAGCCAAGAAAGACGGCCAGTTTATGACACGGACAGCAGAGCATTGGCAACGATAAAGGAGTGAACTCAGCTTCCTGTCCGCCTGCTTTGGAAGCTACAGCTGGGCCTTCTCAGCAAGGCGACCTTCCCAGAGAAGGATGGGTTTCCTTTAGGTCACAGTCAGTTCTGCCTGGCTGTCAGGTCCGCTCGGCCACCCCAGGGACCAGAGGACAGAGCTGAGAACCGGCTCCAGGCTTCCGCCTCTGTGAGGGGCTGTGGGCTTCCAGCCCCACAAACACAGGGAGGGAAGCCCCAGTCCCAAGCTGGAGCTGCTCAGACCTGGTCAGGAGGCAGGCCAGGAGACCATGTGGGGAAGAGAGGAGGACCCTGGCTATGTGGGTGGCACATTCGTCACGACAGAGAATACAGGCGGGCAAGGCTATGAATCTGGATCTGCTGAGTGTGGATGTCTGTGGTGAGGTGGTCAGTAGGGTGCTGGGCCAGGCACTCCACCCTTCAGTTCAGTACTGGGGGGCCACTAGGGCCCTCTGCTGGAACCATTTAGTGAGCCCCTCAGGCACAGGCCCATGCTCCAGGGTCTCCAGCACCTGCCCGGACCAGCAGATACTGAACACAAGTTCACCAAGGGAAGAACGGGCACGGGGGAGGCTGGGAGGCATGAGGGCCTGGTGAGGGGCCAGGTCGCAGTGGACGAGGAACGCCCGGCCCACGTTCCTCCCTGATCTAGAGAGGACGAGCAGTGCCCTCCTCCCCCGTACTAGACCCCTTCAGCCCCAGAGGGAAAGCACAGACCACGGCCAAGCTAGGATCCATTGCTGGGTGGCCTCAGGCCCCCACTGAAGGAGCTGGAATAGCAATAGGTTGCAGACCCCCAAGGAGGGGAACGTGGGGCATTTGCTGAGAGACAGTGCCACCTGGTGGCAGGAGGCACTCACACCAGACTTCTGCTCCTAAGCCTTCGGGGGGCTTTCATGCTGGGGTCCCCTGCACTAGTGAACCAGGGCTTTTGCCACCTGGGCGGCACTGGAACCTCTGACAGCAGCATGCCCATGGCATCAGCTGAGGTCGGCTCTGCCAACAGAGAAGGTGGGTAGACTAGAATTTTAGCCGTTGACCCACAGCGAGGGCAGACACGTAGACCTCTGCTCTTAGGTCTGTACACAGTGGGGAGCCCGGACTGGCTGCTGCTTGGCTGTCACTGTTTGTCTGTGGTGTCTGTAGGCACAGAGAAATAGCAGCAAGCCTGGGACGCTCTTCCAGGCACAGCCACCTCCTCCCCTCTCCAACTCATGGTCCAGGGAACTCCCGTACGGTCTTCCTGTGCGGCTCAGGTCACAGAGAACCACTCCTGCCACCAGCCTCCCCAGAGATTCTGCCCTGGCTGCAGGTTCGGCTCCAGGAAACCACTTCCCAGAGATGTGTCTGAGGCCAGCCTGGACGTCCCGTGGGTGCCCCACACTCACAAGGGCCCAGATTCTGGGGCCCATATGGTCACACCCACACCCATGACTCACTGCTGACTGCTCAGCAGTTTCAGGCCAGGTGAGGTCATGGTGACCTCCTTATGTGACTCAACAGAGCTCATTTTTATTATCAATTGTTGGTTTGGCTGAGTGAGATAGAGTTCTCGTAAAAACACTTTTTTAAACTTCCCTATTACAAAAGAAATGTGTGTGCCATGTTAAAAAATTCGTTTTACAAGAATGTGTGAATTGGAAAGTGAAAGTCCCTTATATAGCTTTATCCTCTATCAAAATTTTCTATTAACAGCCTGGTGTATTTTCTTTCAGCTTTTTTTCCATACACGTACATGCATGAGTCGGGGAGGGAGTGTATGTGCTGTTTTCTATACTGACACAGTTCTACAGTTTATCTTGATTTTTCCATTGAGAGCATTCTACAAGAGGTGCTCTTACCACCCAGCCCAAAGTCAGGTTAACTCAGTGACCCAAGACCAGGGTGGGAGACCAGTAAGGCCTAGGGACTCAGAAATGTGAGGGTCTCAGGTGGCTATGGTTCAGCACTGGGGAGAGGGACCTGTTTTGGAAACCCCGATCAGCCTGGAAGAGAAGTGTGCTCCAGAGAACACCCCAGGAGGGCCAGGGCAGACTCCACGCCCCACACCTCCTTCCGGCTCCGCCCACAGTGCAGTCGGCACAGAACCGGCTGCCACACCAGTGTGGCCCAGGCAGGCTGTGCATGGCGCAAGGCTGTCCCAGGGAACCGCCTGAGCCACTGGGACGTCCTGTACATTTCTGCTGAGTTAGGTGCACAGGCTGGGTCACACCCAGTGTCACACCCAGTGTCACAGCTTGGGAACTGGGCCCTGTGCCAGGGCAGAGCCCTGTGACGTCCGGGAGAACAAGGGCAACTTCAAGGCAGGCAGCCCCATGTGCCAGACCTGCTCTCCCCCTGGCTTCACGGGGGCGCAAATATACCCCTCAGCACTCTGCTTATGCAGCCCCCCACAGTGGGCGTGCCACACTATTTTATGGCCAAAAATTTAAACTAAGTATAATAGGAACAAAAAAAATAACTAGAAGGAGATGCTGGTCAGTATACTGAGCTGCAGGGTCAGGAGAAGCCTTCCAGAAAGGAGGATCCCCTAAGAGCTCCAGGACGGCAGTGACGAACCCAGCACCCAGATCCAGAGTCGGGCTCCAGGTCTGCCCCCTGGGCCCCCCGGTAATGGCTGCCTGACCGAGGGCGGTGACTGCTGCTTCCGTACCCTTCCCTTGCTGGCTGAGTGGAAGTGACACAAATAGCAGCTATCTACAATGAAGTGAAATGCCCATCAAACACTCAGTTCACGCCCACTAGACAATATCCTCAAATGTCACCCACTACCATTACTCTGACTGGTTGAGGGCACCCAAAACAGATGCAACTCCCGAGGGCACACAGAGACTTCCAGGACCTTTAGGGCCTCCCCTGTGGACACAACCAGGGACACCCCTGCCACTGTGTAGCCTGCACCCAGGCCAGCTCCTAGCACACAAAGGAAGTTTCACTCCTCCTGGACAGGGTGCTGGGTGGGCAGGGGTCAGGCCAAAGGCTGAGGAATGCAACAATCAGAGCTTCTGCAGTGACAGGGCCCCCCGATACCTCCATTTCTTGCCTCCCTCAGGCCTAGAAAGGGATCCCACCAGGCTGAGACCAGGCAGGAGGCTCCCAGGGCTCTTGGGCTAGATGCGGCTGCCGCCTGGGGCTCAGCAGTGTGGGTGAGAGGGAGCTGTGGCCCCTCCTTGTCTCTCGCAGACCCCCATCTTAGAGGGCTGCAGCTGTGCTTTCTAAGGGAACCACAGCGGGTGCCCCTGGGAGCGCGTGGCCGGCCACCCTGGCCCTCGACTCACCCTGGTCGATGGAGTGCTGTGGCAGCTGGCTGAGCTGGCTGCTGACCACGCCGGCGTAGGTGCGCAGGAACTCCTCCTCGCTGGCCGTCAGCTGCGAGGGGAGAGAGCCACAGGTGAGGGTGACCGTCACTGAAGGCCTGTCCAGGCCTGCCTGATCCCCAGAGGTGCCTTCTCCTTTGCTCCCTGGAGATTTGACCCCTCAAAGTGAGCACCCCCTCCCACCCCTGAAACGTGGTCCACAGGGCCTTGCCACGCAGAGCAGACCTGAGACTGGACTCTGGGGCGGCGGCCCAGGGCCAGTGGGAAGATGCAGCCCTGCTTGGAGAAATGCCCCTGCACCTCGGCTGGCCTCTCAGGGCCTGGCCTGCCCAGCTCCCCGGGGACGCTCCCTGGGACAGGAGAGCTGGGCAGGCGTGAGAACTCTCACTCGTCTGGCCCAAAGTTGGCCCAGAGGTGGGAAGACTGCCCTGGCAGTGCCCCTGCAGCGGACATACCGGAATCTGTGCCACGTGAACCAGCCGCAAGCCAGACCACAGGCTCAGTATCCCCCTCCCCGACCACGGCTGCTACAGCCTCTGCTCTGGCCGCACCAGGCACCCTCCCTGGCGGCTGGGGCTCGACACCCCGCAGGCACTCACGTTTGATCCCATCTTCCTCAGCATGAGCAGCACCCGGACCTTCTGCTGAATGTACATCTCCTCCGGACTCTTCCCGGGAGTCCCCTCACGGTTCATCCCCTGGCCAGCTCTGGGGACTGCTGCAGAGTGAGAAGCACAGGGGGTCAGGACCGGACATACCCAGATACAGGCAGGGAGCTTGGTGGGAGTTGTCAGGCGGCCCACTGTGCTGCAGGGTCTTTTACTGAGAGCCCAGAGCAACAGACGAGTTGCCTGTTCCCCGCAACCCCATTAGCCCCAACCAGACAGTGCAGCTCTACCTAGGGTGGGTGCTGGCGGCGCCTCTGTGCGCATGGCTGTCGGGCCCAGGGGGACCGAGCTCACCAAACTTCTGGCCAGCTCTACCTTCCAGCCACCCCCTCAGCAAGGCCCCAGCTACAAGCCACAAGAAATGTGCTACATGACCCCACAATGCCCCAGGTTTTCAAAGCAAGCAACTCCCACAAGAAGCAAAAGTGGTACGGTTGGAGGCAGCTGGCCAGGCTTTTGCTGGAGAAACTGTGAGATCAATTCCCAGCCCCCAAACCCCAAGGCAGCTCTCTTAGGCAAAGCCCCTGCCGAGTTCAAGAGGCCAGCTCCTGGGCTGGACTCCAAGGAGTCCCTCGATGGGGACAGGCGGGCCCAGGGCTGTGGGGCACAGGACCCACCAGGCTCAATGCCACCACCTTCACAGGCCCACCCCACCTGTCAGAGGGCAGTTCCTGCAGGCAGCAGCTGTGTCCAGGTGCAACAGGGACCCAACCTGCAGAAAGGTCCCGGGAGAGAAGTCCCAGGGTTTCCCCTCCGGGAGGAGCTGGTGGAAAGGAAGCCAGGCGTGGAGGGGTTTAGATTACATATTTGTAACTCCTGGATGAGTCAGAAATAACGCAGCAGCTGGTGGGGGTGGAGCCTCAGCAGCCCCAGTGCCAAGGAGCTGCGCTTGGAGGACCAAGGGACTGGGCTGGTGGGCCAAGAACACTCCTCACATCATCCATCCCTCAGGAGCCAGCAAGCCCTGGACCAGCAGGGTCTCCCAGGCAGGGTGGCCCTCCTGGAGAGGGCAGCTCTCTGTGCAAAGGGTAGACTCAGAAATGTGCCAGAGCCCTGAACAGCAGCTTCCCTGGCTGCACAGTCACCATAATGTAACAGACAACAGAGGCCCTGGCCCTAAAAGCCCACACAATAGGCCAAAAAGCTGGCCAGTTGGGGTTGAAGTAGCAGCTCCATACCTGCTGTGATATGGTCCCCTTTCAGGGCCTTCCCTTCTGCCACTAAAGCCCCAGGTTCCCTAGTCTACTGTCTACCCACCTTCTACCTCCTTCAGGTGCAGAACAGGGTCTAACTCACAACTGGTACCTGGGACAGAGCGGAAGGTACCTCAAGAATGGTCTCTGATACGAGGCAGCCCCCACCACCCTGGGGCCAGGTGTGCAGAGTGCAGGGGACAACCCTAACTTCCCAGCACAGCTGAGCAGGAAAACTGGGTTCTGGGGTTTCACTTCTCACGCTGACCCCGTCTCACTGCCTTCCGCTCCAACACGCCACCAGAACAGCTGACACTGCTCCCCAGCTCACCTCGCCCCCAGTGTATCACAGTCGGCCTGCCCTTCTCTCTCCTCCCCTCTCCACTCTGCCTTCCTGGCCCCAGTATGTTCTAGAACAGGCCAAGAAGCCCTCTTCCCCGGCAGCCTTTGCCCTGAGTGTCCCCTGGGCCTGGAACTGGATTCTTTTCCTCCTTCATCTCACTCAAAGACGCCTTCCCAGGAGGCCTTTCCTGGCAGCACAGCCAAAGCCGGGTCTGTGCCCGCCCCCCCTTCAGCCACATAGCCCTGTCTTGTCCCAATTTTCTGAAAGCACTTGGTTGGAGCACTTGCTTTTGTCTCTTCCCAGCCTGACCGGAAGGCCAGGACATGTGTGCTTCGCTTACTCTGTCCTGCAGTCCAGCACCATGCCTGGCAGGTGCTTAAGGAAGACAGTCCACTGGCTGAATGCAGTATGGAGACTAGCCTGCAGTGTCTAAGTTTCCCCTCCCCTGCAACATCCACACCAATTTATGGCCAAATGTCATGTTGAAAGAGACCAAAGCTGCCCTGGCCGGTTCGGCTCAGCGGTTAGAGCGTCGGCCTGCAGTCCAGAGAGACCCGGGTTCGGTTCCCGCTGAGGGCATGTACCTCGGTTGCAGTTTGTCCCCGGCTCTGATTGGGTCGTGCGGGTGGCAGCCACTCGATGTGTCTCTCTCACGTTGATGTTTCTCTCTCTCTCTCCCCCTCCCACTCTATCTGAACAAAAAATCGAAAAATGTCCTCGGGTGAGCATAAAAAAAAAAAAGAAAGAGACCAAAGCAGCTAATCCAGTCTCCAGAACCAGATTAAGCTTTTCAAAGGACTCCTGTTCCTGTGTAGTTTGTGTGCTGTGGGACATCGTGTTCTCCAAAGGACATCTGAATGCTCCAAGAAGTCTCCAAACTGGGAGTTAGGGCTTCCAAGAGTAGACAGCATGGAAGACAAGTGACCTGCCACTAGATGTCGCTACACACAAAAGAACAGTGTTCTAGTGCGACCCTCTCCCAGCCACCAATATAACTCAACAGGCCCATTAGGCTCAAGCTCTTACTCTGATCCTACTGCCACAAACCACACCCAGCTGCAGGTCCCAGAGCAAGACCTAGTCATTCATTCAAGGGCCAGCTCTACTGGATGCTACACATCCCAGGAGCCAGGGGGTCCTGGATTCACAGGGGTTGGGAGCTCCCTCCTCACTGCCCTTCCTCCAAAGGAGACTCAGGCTCAGAACCAACAGGAGTGTGTGTGTGTGTGTGTGTGTGTGTGTGTTTTACATGCGGTCTATTTTTCAGAATTTTGCTCTGTCCAACAATTCTACCCCTGGTACCCGTCCAGAGAGATCAGTGTCATTCGTCATCTTCCACCTGTGTGGCCTGCCCCAGGGACCTCCCACACGTATGCAGTGATTACTAAGTTGGGGGGCTTACAGGGTGCCTTAGGTGCCTGAATGTGTCTTTGGAGCCAGATTACTCCCGAGTCAGCACACTTGCTCAGCACAGACTGGTTCTTGTCTGTTTCTTCTTGCTTTGGGGAAGGTTCTTGTCATTTCTAAAAATCACGATCTTCCAGGATTCTTTCACTCTCAAATGAACAGATTCCGCCCTGCCTCCTGACAGAGGGAACACCCAGAGCTGGATCTAGAGCCTAACGTGGCCAATGAACGTACATTCCTGCCCTTCATGCTCCCATCCACACAGACTAGCCCTTCACAACTGGTGTATATAATTTCCAAACAGAATCTGTAGCAAGGGTGTCAGTGTGAAAAAACGAATAATTGAAGAGAATAAGTCATAATATCCCAAACAACAGACATTTCAGTCGCTGGTATGCTACAAGAATGTTAAAGTGTGTTTGGGTTTGGTGCCTATCTAAGCAAACATGCTATTAAATTTTCATCACAATTCTGACAAGCATTAGATTAACTTTATTTGAGAATTCTTATTCTCCCCTGTAGGGATCAAGAACTCCATAAAAATGTGTTTCAATTACATAAGTCCAAATTGCAGCTAATTTAGACACGCCAACTTATTCATTCTGTCCTCAGCCAGAAGGGCCAAAGGCAAGGATTCTTCTCAGTTATGGTTTCCTGGCTAGCCCCATAAACGTTCCGTCACCTAGCGTGGTGGCACTTTCATTCTAAATCCTAAGAAAATCTCTGTGTTAACTGCCCAAGTCAGAGACAGACTTGCTCCCTCTCTTAGAGATACAACATTCTGGAAGCTTACTAGGGAAAGGCATAAATGAGCTAAAGAATAGAAAATGGAGCCCTGGCTGGTTTGACTCAGCTGTTAGAGCATTGGCCCGTGGACCAAAGAGTCTTGGGTTTGATTCTGGCCAAGGGCATACACCTCTGTTATGGTTCTTCCCTGGCCCTGGTTGGGGTCCTGTGGGAGGCAACCAGTCGATACATCTCTCTCACATCGATGTTTCTCTGTCTCTTCCTCCCTTCTGGTCTATCTAAAGATAAAAATGGAGACATCCTCGGGTGAGGATTTAAAAAAAAAGAAAGACTAGAAAATGGAAAGAAACAACTATCTATCATCCCAATGAATTGGGAGGAAACAGCCTGAGGCTATATATCATGCTGTAGATAAAAGCGCAGGTGAATTCAAAAAATTACATCTGATTGGGACAAATGCAATTAACAGATACTGAGGTACATACATTTGCTGCAGACACACAGGCATATCCACCCCCCACCTCCCCACATAAAAACACTCCTGTTGGTTCTAAGCCTGCATCTCTGTTGAAGAGAGGTTGACTGGTCATGAACAATGGGAAGGAGCTCACAACCACCGGTAAGGATCCAAAGTGACAAAAGGAGGCTGTGGCCTGAGAGGCAGTTTGTCCCTGGCCCTGGTTGGGGTCATGTGGGTGGTGGCCATTTGATGCGTCTCTCTCACATCGATGTTTCTCTCTCTCTTCCTCCCACTCTCCCTCCCACTCTATCCGAATATTAATGCAAAAAAAAAAAAAAAGTGATATATTAATGACTTGGGGTGGTGAACACAATACGGTGTACAGATGATGTGCACCTGAATTGTGCATAATCATGCATCTGAAACCTATGTAATTTTTTTTTAATCCTCACCTGAGGACACTTTTGCATTTATCTTCAGATAGAGCAGGAGAGAGAGAGAGAGAGACATCCACGTGAGAGAGACACATCAACTGGTTGCCACCCACACGACCCCAACCGGGGCTGGGGACAAACTGCAACCGAGGTACGTGCCCTTAGCAGGAACCAAACCAGGGACTCTCCGGTCTGTGGGCCGACCGCTGTGCCAAACCGGCCAGGGCAAACCTATGTAATTTTGTTAACCAGTGTCACCTCCAATACATTTAAAAAAAATTTTTAAATGTGATATATTTTAAATGCTCACATTTAAAAATGTATTTACATTTGTACAATGTTTACATTGCATACAAATAGATGCCATATAATTGTGCTATTCACAGAGCTTCTGTAACATATTAGTGCGAGATGCACACATCCCAACAGCCTAGAAGCACCCAGCAGTAGCACAGCATTCGCTGCAGGCACCCACTGTCTGAAGAAACGAGCACTGTTAGGGGAGATAGAGAAGAGAAACGAGATGCACTAACTTCGAGTCAGCCTTGAGCCCATACCCAAGGCCCCTCCCCCAAAACTGATCTATGGCCATGTCACCAGATCTCCTTCTCCTGGGGTCCTTACCTGCTTCTGGAAATTAACTTCAGGCAAACAGGTGCTCAACTGTGACGGGCAAGCTGTGGCCGGGGAGAAATAGAAGGTGCGGCCCTGTGGAAACACAGAACACGGTCATGGGAGGAGCCAGGAGGGCCCCAATGGCTGCCAGAGTCCAACCTGGAGCACACACCCCGTGCTGACAGATACAGAACCGAGGGCGGGAAGCTCACGCCAACGGGCTCTGCCGCAGTCCAGAAATACCTGTGCGTCTGGCCAACCCAGGGAACCTGCACCAACACCTCTGGGACGCGGTGCTGACTGCAGCTGCGCTCGCTGTCATTTCTGGCCAAAGCAGGTCAGCACACACCCTCTTCCCCTTGGGTTAGTTACCAAGTCCAACTGAGAGCTGTGCTGGGAGATGTTGTGGACCAGAGTGAGTCACTCCAGGGCAGCTGACCACCAAGTCCCCCACCTGCACGAGAGGTGTGCCCACCGAAGCGAACATGAGCCAGGCACAGGTACCTGGGTGCTCCACCTCCCTTGTGCCAGACGTGCATTGTGTCTGTGTGCTTGGTATACAGAAACATAAACTGACATAAACTAACACACACACACAACCCAGTGCAGATCATTGAAAACCTGCTAGCCTGGCCACATGTCCGCTTGTGCCAAACACCTCTTCCAGGAATCGAGGAACACTGTCTTCTTGTCTTTTGTCTCCCACACAAAACCACATCGTTCAGGCCCTTTGCAGGTTAATTTAACAGAAACATGGACTGAGGCCAACAGGCGGGAGACACAGGGCAGGCTGGCGGGGGTCACCAGGGAGACTTGCCTGCTGGCTGCCCCCCAGTCACCCCCTTTGCTGTGGCACACAGACCTCAGCGCGCCTGGGCTAAAGGTGGCCTCCCAGCTCTCAGCCCTACAGCGAGGACAGAGGTCTGAGGACAGAACTTTGGAGAAACCTGTTCCAAAGGAGGTACAGGACCAAGGGAAGCTTTGGAACCTTTTGTCCTCAACGATTTCTGCAAAGAAAGCTGCTCGCTTACCCAAGGGGCTAAGGAAAAAACGTGTTTTCCATAAAGAGTGAGATTTCAGAAGCCTCCCGACAGGCAGACGAGGCTCTACCCTCTGGGTCTCTGTTCCGCATATCCCTCCAACTAGCGATTGCCTGGGATGGACAAGACATCACCCACCACTGCCACCCCTCCCCCTCAGACTACCCCTGTGGGATCAGACATTTATAGTGATTAATTGCTCTTTTATTAAATACCAAGTGCCCCTGGGGAACTTTCCACCCAAGTCCCCACATTCCTTCAAAAAGAGATGAAAAGAGACAACCGTCTTCACTTCTGAGGAGCTTTAATTTCTTCACCTACCACAACAGCCAATTAGCCTCCTACTGTCTACAGGGCTCAGGCCCTTCCAAGGAGCAGAGGAGCTTTGTATTTGTGACTTTAAGGGGAAGGTGGCAAAGGGATGCTGAGTGTCCCTGGTGGGACTATCTGGGGACTCATGGCCGGTTGTTCTATGTGCCATTTAATGTGTTCCCAATTTACAGAGGAGGAAAGCGAGGCTTTGCCTGAGGGGCCCCAGGGCCAGTGGAAGACAGCACACATGCTCGGGGGCTGGGGGCTGGGTTCCGGTTTCCATTCTGCTCTGTCACTGATGAGCTGTGCAGCCTGAGGTCAGTCACTGCCCTCTGGGCCCCACATTTTGCCATTTGTGGAAAGGAAGTCATGACCTCTACCGTGTCGTCCCTCGAATACATGAGATCAGGGCTGGCTTCATGGGCATGAGGCCCAGGCGCTTAGAAGGGCCTCACTCTGGGTTTAAAGCTCTGCTGTCAGCATCTTGAAACTCCTACTAATGTCTGAACAAGGGGCCCTGCAAGTTACGTGGCTGGAGCAGACTGAGAGGAAGGACGTCAAAGTGCTCTCAAACTGCCAAGGGCCTCACAACCTTAAGTAGACACAACACGGAAGCAAGAAGGATTTATGAGTACACAGCCCATGTCAGCTCAGGGAGTGGGGATACAACAGTGGGCCTGTGACACAGCCTGCCTTCCAGGAGGCGACCGAATGGCTGAGGAAACCAAACTGCACAAGCTGAACAAAAACACAAAACACAAACAATAGGTAATAACCAGCCAGAGAAGTATGTCGGGTTAAGACACAGCTGCTCCAGAGTGCCAGCCGCGTGTAATATGCCATGCCAGCGCTCCCCAAACACTCAGAGGCAGGAGGAAAAGACCCTGCCCCAGTGTGGGACGTGGCAGAGTAAGGGGATGTGCAAAGCTCAGTGAGAACACACAGGAGGAGGGACTAGCTGCCAAGGGCTCTGGGGAGAAGATACAGGGCTGGGTCTTAAGGGATGAATAGGAGTTTGCTGGTAGAGAAGGGCAAGGGCATTCGTTACAGGCACAGGGAACAGACATTTCTCTGAACAAACAGTTACTGAGCATCTATAAATGGTCAGGCCCTGTGCTGGGCACTGAAGATACGCAGGTGAGCAAAACAGTTGCGGCCACTGTGACGAGTGGCTCCCCGTGAGCGGGTGAGACGGACATTAAGCAAGTCATAGCCGGGGAAATGCCTCCTCAGACACTGATAAATGACAGTCTTCTGAGCTGCTCCCTGCAGGATGAGGAGGAGCTGGGTTGGAGGCCACTTCTGTGCTCAGGGCACACACGTGAAAAGGCCCTGAAGCAGGAAGATTGGGCCTTTGGAGAAGCTGGAGGAAGCGAGGATGTGGCTGAGGCCTCGGCAGTCAGCCGTGGGCCAGGTGGTCTCTGAGAGGTGAGAGATGCTCCACAGTGGGGGTCAGGGAGCGTGAGCTGTGAGCGGTGAGGCAGCAGCGTGGGGGGACGGGCAGAGCTGGGGGAAAGCCCGCTGGGCCGGAGAGCTGGGGCTTGGGCTGCGGGTGACAGAGAAGGGGCGGTGAGGAAGGGAGGGTGTGGGACACTTCGGCAGGTGGAGCTGTGGGATGGGAACAGTGGGAGCAGCCTGGACTGCCACCGGCTGAGGGAAGGGGGAGGGGCGGCCTGCAGCTAGAGCTGCCTGGTAGGCTGGTGAAGGCCCTGCGGACGCTGAACTAGGACTGCACTCCATGGGCCACAGAAGCCCACGGGCCTGGAAAGCAAGTGGATTCGTCCTTCAGATAGTCAGTAACCCTGTGACTATCTGCAGAGACCATCAAAACATGCTGACCAACCAGATCTTAGAAGCTTCTAGGGCACTTCTGGGAGACACTGTGCACTGGGTGGGTAGGGGGCACACTTTGGGAAGAAAGAGCAACATAAATGAAGGTGAAGAATTGGTATCCTGGCAATGCCACTTACCAGCTGTGTGGCCTTGGGGAATGTATTCATTTATTCATTCAATAGGCAAGTTTACTGAGCACCTACTATGTGTATTGAAATACATTCGTAAAAACAGTCAAAATCCCTACATACATTCCAGTGAAGAGGAAGGACAGACAAAACAAATAAAAAATAATCAATGGGTAAGTTATTAAAAACAAGCCAGTGGGTGAGGGGAACAGGAATGTGGAGAGGTCGGGGTGGGCCTTCCTGAGCAGACACACGGAGGCGAGGGAGTGAGCTGGGGGAACCCTGGGGCAAAGCTGGGCAGAGGCCCTGGGGAGGTCACGTGGATGTGTCGGAGAAACAGAGAACCAGCCAGAAAGGCCATGGGGGACGCCTGAGGGGAGTGAGTAAGGGGCCAGGGCAGCAGGAAGCCAGGAGGCCTCTGAGAACCCGCCCTTGACCTCAGAGAAAGAGCAGCCACGGTGGCCTGGTCTGACTTGGGTTTTAAGTAGGACCACCCCAACGAAAACAAGAAGAGACTGAGGGGCGAGAGCAGAGGTGGGGAGACCAGCAAGAGGCCGTGGCAGAAATTTAGGCAAAAGGTAGGCAGTGGCAGTGGGACCCGGAGTGGGCAGGACAGACACTGGGGGGCTGGTGGGTGAGGTGTGAAGTGTGAGAGGAGGGGAGCGTGATGGTGGCTCACAGGTGTGTGGGCTGAGCAACTGAAGGTGGGGTTCCCCTCGACCGAGATGGGGAGACACAGTGGAGCAGCGTGGGGGAAAGACCAGGAGTTCGGCTTTAGACAGCTTAGCGCCTTCCCACCTCTAAGCCTGTCTCCTTACCTACAGAATGGGGGCGACAGTGGGAGCTGCCCCCAGTGCTGGCTGAAGATTAAAGGAGGCAGCACATAAAGCAGCACTGGGCACAGTGCCTGGCACACAGCAAGCACCCAATAAACATCAGCTGCTATTACTAGTGATAGATCACCACTGACAATGGAAGTAAGGTTATCTTCCTCACAGGATGAGGGTAAAATTAAACAAAAATAAGAATTCAAAGGTTTAAAATACCCCAGCTTCCCTTCTCCCTTCTTCTCTTCCAGGTGGCCCCTCAGCTCCCACTGGCTCAGAGGAATGATGAGGGGTGAAGAGCTCCTGGCGGCGGGGTAACGACCTCACCGCCACATTTTCTACGTGCTGTCCCAAGTCATTGGTTTCTGAACCTTTGGCACTGCTGACCTTTTGGACTGGATACGTGTCTGCTGTGTAGGATATTTAGCAGCATCCCTGGGCCCTCCCTCACACAGTCATGTTTCAGTCAACGACAGACCCCACACACAGTCATGTTTCGGTCAACGACAGACCCCACACACAACAGCGGTCCCAAAGACTAGAATGGAGCTAAAAAATTCCGATCGCGTGGTGAAATCATAGCCCTTGTAAGTACACAAATACCACTGTTATGAATGCCTACAGTATTCCGCACAGTAACATGCTGCACAGCTCTGTAGCCTAGGAGCTGTAGGGGAAGAATCTGTCACCCCCAAATATGTCTATTTGGCATAAGAATTATTTTAGGCTGGTTAATTTTAAGAAACAGCAAACATGGGAGAAGCTCTGAAAACCAAGTAGAAGCCATTCTTTATAAAATACATTTACATGCGTGAGGGAAATCTCCATTTGTACCAGGAACTGGGGCCGATCTTATCTCTAGACACTCCTATCAGTGCAGAAGACTTAAATCTGCATAGCAACCTTACCCTAGTTTATGTGCTTCTCTTGTAACCTCCCATGTCTGACTCCCCCACCCCAACATCTTTCGTCTTCAGCTGAAGATGGCATTTAAGGTGGTGGCCTCCACCATTTGGGTGAGTTACTCAGTTTTCCTGGGTCTCTCCCATGTATACAGGAAATATATCAGTTATTAAACTTGTTTGTGTTTCTTATGTTAATCTATTTTTTTTATTACAGGGATGTCTCAGCTAACAACCCAGAAGGGTAGAGAAAAAATTATTATTCCTCCCCTACAGAGCAATGGGCTACACCCTATAGCCTTGGTGTGCAGGAGGCCACACCATCTAGGTTTCTGTAAGTGCGCTCGGATATTTGCACAGAAAATCCTATCCATGCAGAACGTATTCCTGTCACTAAGCAGTATGTACGGTAGATGCCAGTAGCACCACCCATTTGGTTGTGACAACTGTGGCCGAAAAGGGGGTTCTACGGAAAAAACCTCACACGGTGACCTGATCATAAATTCCTAAGTGGACAGGTCCTGATGGGAAGTTAAGCCGCAGGCATATAACTTCTTTTGTGAAAGGTTTATCTTTGCGTAAGCAAGTCCTGTCTACTGTTTCTGTGCACCTAGACTAAACCACTCTCTCAAGAGAGCACATTATCTTGCTAAGGATCCTGTGACCCCATCCCCCCTTGCTTCCTCACCTCCGTGCAATCTCTTTATGCCCCTCCTTAGTTCAAGAGCATAAAAGAAGCTTAGATGGTCATCCTGCGAAGCATTTTTCTCAGGCTGCTCAGATCTCGCTTCTAGGCGTGTCCTGTTTGGCTCACATACATTTTTATGAAAATTCTCTATAGGTTTGGATGTTCTTATACGGACACAACCATGAATCTCTCCAAGATGTTGTCATATGTCCCCTAAAGGGCAAAGTCACCCCTGGTTGTGATCACCACTTTAAAGAAATGGCTGGCATTTTCTAGCTTACTATTGGCCAGGCCTTGTTCTTAACCCTTCACATATGTGAGTCCGTTCAAGCTTCACGCATTCAGTCTTCACAACAAACATCCCTATAAGGTTTAACAGGTGAGGACACAGATGCAGAGAGTAACCTGCCTGTGACCACCCAGCTGGTGTGTCCCACTTAGTTCTGGGGCAGGGGTCAAACCCGACTTGTCTGAGCTCTTACCCCTATGCTATCCTGCTCTCCAGTATACAAGTAAATGGACAAAAATGAGCTCAGCACCAGGAAGAGGGAGCAAGACTGAGGCCTGAACTGCGGCTCTGGCTGGGGGCCCCACATGGGGCGGCGCCTCGCGTCCTTCAGCAGCATGAAAACTGGGGCACAGAGAGAATTTCCACAAGTTCTGCTCTCAGTAATTAAGCCGCAACCTCCCGGGCTCTAGGCCTCATGAGCAACTGTCTTAATTAATGAATTCCACATTTCAGCCTCCTCAGTCCAGAGCCAGGTTCAGCATTCTTGAACCACACTCCAGCAGCATGAGCAACACAGGTCGGATGACGGCTCTTTGAGTCAGGGAGTTTGCAGGATGTGACACCATTCTCAGGGGATGAGCTTGGGGTGAGGAATTTGTCCTGAGGTTGCCAACCCCAATTCCAACCTGATCCAGAGCTCCTTCCTACTCTCTGAAGCCAGGCAAGGCTGCAGACCAGTGATAATTACTGTTGTGCTATAGCGTTTTCCAAGGGCCAGGCACAATGTCAGTCATGTTCATTCAGCACAATGTCTCATTTAATTTGAGTTCTCATAACAAGCCTGCAAGGTAAGAATTATTCTCAGTTAAAAAATTTATTTTCCTTTATTGATTTTACAGAGAGAGGAAGTGAGAGGGAGAGAGAGATAGAAACATCAATGAGAGAGAACATCGACTGGCCGCCTCCTACATGCCCCCAACTGGGGATTGGGCCCACAGCCTGGGCATGTGCCCTGACCGGGAATCAAACCAGTAACCTCTTAGTGCATGGGTCGATGCTCAACCACTGGGCCACACCAGCCAGACAACAATTGTTCTCAGTTTAAAGATCAGACAACTGAGGCTCAGAGAAGATAAGTAACCTGCTCAAGGCCACGGAGCTAATAAGTGACAGAGCCTGGATTGGAACCCATGCTTTCTTTCCACCCTATTGGCCCCTTCTGGCTCAGAAATTTATAGATGCATTAATCATTGTAATTGAACTTAAAATGAAAATCCACTTTACAAAAAATAAAAGACAGCCAGAACCTTAAACTACTGACAATCAGAAAATAAGATAAGGCAGCATAACAATCAAATACAATGAATGGTCCTTGATGGGATCCAGGGAGGCGGGAGGGCTCTAGGCCTCATGAGCAACTGTCTTAATTAATAAATTCCACATTTCAGGAGTCTTAAAGGCCGTTACTGGGCAATCACAGAAAATTTAATAGGGAATACTTATTAGATAATAGTATTGTATCAATGTTATATGTGTTGAGTATGATGATTATATTGTGATTATGTTGGAAAGTATCCTGGTTCCTAAGAGATACAGGCTAAGTATTTAAGGGTGAAATGCCTCAATGCGTGCAACTCTCAAATGGTTCAGAGAAAAAAGTGTATGAGTGTGAATGTGCCTAGTGACAGAGAATGCATAAGCAAATACGGCAAAATGTTAACACTGGTGAATCTAGGTAAAAGGCATAGATAGGGGTGTTCACTGTACTATTTCAACTTTTCTGTAGATTTGAAATCGAAATTCAAAGCCAGGAAAATACTGAAAGCCCCTGGGAGTGAGGATGGCAGTGGGAGGGGCCGCAGCTGCTCTCCCGTGGCCCCTGGATGTCCGTGGAGTTCTGTCTGTAACCCACCCTGATCGTCCCCCACCAGTCAGGTCGGCCGTCCACGAGTGGGGAGCAGCTGTGAAGCCCAAATATAGACAGGCCCTTCTCTCCTCCGGCCGCAGGTCTGCTGGCCCAGGACTGATTCCAGAACTCTCAATAATTACCCTGGAATTACCCTCAACAATTACCCTCAGAGCTTCGACCTGCCCCTTCATGGCAATGCAGTGTGCTCTGTTCCAGGCTTGAATCTCTCTGGTGAAGGCCCTTTGAGGAAGGTTTTTAAGGCATTAGAATCAGACCCACCCGACCTGATTCAAAACTGCCCAATAACAACCAGGGTGTGGCCACCCTTCCCAGCTGTTCTGATGACCACAGGGAAGGTATCAGCACAGAAAACTGCAGTTAGGCTGGACAGCAGCACCTGGAGGTGCCATGAGGGCCTGGGGGTGCATCCTCCTTTCTAAGGCGTGTCTTGCTCTGAGAAAGCCCCACAGGCCACTCTTGCACCTGGCACCACGGGCGCATCACACACACCAAAGGGCTCCCTCAGGACCTGCACACTGGACAGGAAGCGAGAAGAGAGGGCTCCCTCCACTTTGCCCTGGTGCAGGGGCAGATGGTCAGATCCTGGCTGTCCACCATGTTCCCTGCATGGCGATGGGACTCAGTCGGGGGCATCTGGCAATGTCTGGAGACATTTCTGACTGTCGTAACTGGGAGGATGCTACTGGGTAGGGGCCAGGGATGTTGCTAAACATCCTATGATGCACAGGACAGCCCTCACAACAAGGAGTTGTCTGGCCCCCACGTCCATAGCACCAAGAGAAAGAAACCTGGCTCGGTGGTCTCCTCAGAGTGACAAATTGCACGAGGCTCCTTCAACCCCTCAGGGCCTTTGCCTCTGCTGGCCCCTCGGTCTAGGCTACCCTCCCTACTGACTGCTCACCATTCTACTGTTACCCTCTCTGGGCAGCCTTGGAGCCTGTGTCTGCACATGCCCAAATGTCCTCCACTCACAGCATGGCCCTGGCATGGCATCTGGGTGTCTGCCTATCCACCCACCTCCAAACTGGAAGCCCACTAAGGGCAGGCACAGGCTGGTTTGAAGGCCTTCACAGGCCCCAGGCCGCCTTATTCTCAGAGACAGATGAAAATGAACCCACATCTCATTCATTAGAATTAATTCTCATATAACTCATAAGAGTAGTGGGAGCTGATACATTTTTTAGGTCTCCAATATTTTCATGGCCCCTCAAAAAGCCTCAGGGAGGGCCTTATGCTGAAGAATCCGAACTGATGAAACAGTGCTGCCGGTCACATCTGTTAGGTTCGCTTGGGACCCACGAAGGAAGCCTCCCAGCCTCGGAATGTCCTCCCCAGAGAATCGGAGACGCGGAGGAACTGAAGGAGCTGGTCTGTATATATTATGTATGTTGATGTAACTGGACTGGTGTAAGGCATCTGTTTAGAACTTCTAGTTTTAAAAAAACATATCTGTGATTTCAGTCTGATTCATAGAAAAAGTTACCCAGATCTCGCTGTCTCTTTGAGTCCTGAATTGGGCGAAACCTACCTTTTTACAGCGAAGAAAGAGTACCTGGCAGGCCAGCGGAAAGCTCCGAGAACAATGCAAACAGGAAGGGAATGTGGAGCCTGGGGAAGTCTCCGTGGCTGCAGCAGGGCACTCCCCATCCTGGGCAAGTCATTAGCTCCGGGTTCTGACCAAGGGACACGCAGGTGGCGGTTTTATCTCCTCTTCGCACAGTAGGGGAACAATGACAAGGGAGAAAAGGCATCTTTGACCTACTTAAAAAGATTCCTTTTCTTTTCCCAGAGAACAGCTGGAGCTCTGAAACCTGGCCAAGGCGGAGCCTGCGACCTTAAGTCAGGAACCAGCAAGCCTACAGAATCCTGCTCCAGATGGACCTCTGATTCAGTCTGACTTGTGACCTTTGACCTCTGGCAGGTTCCGTTGGAGTGGGTAATGCAGACTCCGAGCCCTGGTCTATTTATAAGTGAATGTAAGGGCTGGAACCCTCAGCTCTCAAGTGGATGAAAGCACCACACCCCCTCTTCTAGGCACGAGGCTCCCAGGCGGACCACCTTCATGGGCTGGCCACCTGGCAGTGACAAACACCCATCTGTACAAGTGGCAGAAGGACCCTCTTTCTCTCCTGTGATCTAGATTAGCATTTGAGGTGCCCCAGCATGTGACAACCCTCCTCCCTCTCACCAAGGGAAAACTCAGTTTACACTGCTGGTCAGTGTTCTTAGGGAGTTAGCTGAAGTCAACTTGAGGCTGGAAGGACCAGTTCCAAGCCTAACAATCCCAGAGAAGGAGCCTGGCCAGGAGGTTTCATATACCTTAGGTCACCTCCAGAGAAAGATGCCAGAATGTTCATTTCAGCCCACAGACGCACCCTCAACCCTGCTGCCCACGGCTGTGCTGAATCTTGCGGGGTCACCATTTAAAATTTTAATTGAGAAATTTTGAAGTTTGTTTTTATTTTTTATTAATTAATTTATTTATTTTCAATCTTCACCCAAGGATATTTTTCTATTTATCTTTAGATAGAGTGGGAGGGAAGGAGAGAGAGAGAAACATCGACATGAGAGGGACACATGAACTGGCTGCTTCCCACATGACCCCAAACAGGGCCAGGGACAAACCAGGGCCAGGGACAAACTGCAACCGAGGTACATGCCACTGACCAGAATTGAACCCACAACTCTTTGGTCTGTAGGCCGATGCTCTAACCCAGTGGTTCTCAACCTTCCTAATGCCACGACCATTTAATACAGTTCCTCATGTTGTGGTGACCCCCAACCATAAAATTATTTTTGTTGTTACTTTATAACTATAATTTTGCTACTGTTATTATCTTAAGCGACCCCTGTGAAAGGGTTGTTCGACCCACAAAAGCGTCGCGACCCACAGGTTGAGAATCCCTGCTCTAACTGCTGAGCAAAACTGGCCAGGGCAGTTTGTTTGTTTTTAAAGAGGAAGGGGGGAAAGTGACACAGTGCTATTTATTTATCAGGAGCTGCAGAAGATCCCTCCACTGAGAGCCATATGGACGAGTTCACGTCACCGTCACCCTCACCCTCGTTCTCACAGGGACAAGCCTTGTTCTCAGGCAGGCCCGGGCATGGCCCGCCAGGCCCTCCCACTGCCCAAGGGCAGGCTGGCTCGCCCAGGAATCACTGCCCTCCCCAGCTCTTCCCCTTTGCCTGGAATTGTGTCAAATAAATAAGACTCCTGAACCTGGGTCACTGCAGCCCGTCGGAATTCCAGGGCCAGGAAGGCCTCCAGCTTCCCCTTGCAAGAAGTAGGCCATAAATCAATCGGGTTGCCTGCAGGGCGAGAGCTCGGTCCCCAGTCGTGCATGCCCCCAGAGAGGCAGGCTGGCAGCCACTTGGCCTCCAGAGCTGGCCCCTTGCTCACTGTCCAGCTCTGGGGATGGCTGTCCTCAGGACCCAGCTGATGTCTCCTGGGGTTTTTGCCCTGGCCGGTTTGGCTGAGCGGTTAGAGCGTCAGCCCTCGGACCAATGAGCCATAAGTTCAATTCCTTTCGGTCAAGGGCACGGACCTCACTTGCGGTTCGGTTCCTGGCCCTGGTTGAGGTTGAGTGGGAAGCGACCAGTTGATGTGTCTCTTTGATGTCTCTCTCTCTCCCACTCTATCTGAAGGTAAATGAAAAAATATCCTAAGGTGAGGATTAAAAAAAAAAAAAAAATTAAAGAAAATAGGGTTTTGTCCTGGCTGGGTGGCTTGGTTGGAGCGTCATCCCATACAACAAAAGATTTTGCGTTCAATTCCTGGTCAGGGTATATACCTAGGTTGTGGGTTCAATCCAGAGTCAGGGCACGGACAGGAGACAATAATCGCTGTTTCTCTCTCATGTTGATGTTTCTCTTTCTCTCTCTCAAAAAATCAATAAACATATCTTCAAGTGAGGATTTATTTATTTATTTATCTATTTATTTATTTTTTATCCACTCCTGAGGACATTTTTCCATTTTTTGTTCAGACAGAGTGGGAGGGTGAGAGAGGAAGACAGAGAGAGAGAGAGAAACATTGACATGAAAGGGACACATCGAGTGACTACCTCTCGCATGACCCAACCAGGGCCGGGGACAAACTGCAACCGAGGTACGTGCCCTTAGCGGGAACCGAACCTGGGCCTCTCTGGACCGTAGGCCGACGCTCTAACCGCTAAGCCAAACCGGCCAGGGCTTCAGGTGAGGATTTAAAAAATAAAATAGGTTTAAGGGTTACTGCCTCCTCTTCCTATAGACTTTCAGCATACAGGTATGTGCTAATTTGCATAAGAATATAGGTATGTTGGTTTACCTTGAACAACATCCACACCATTGCTACAATTTGCAAGGATCACTGCTCTGCCCTGCTACGCAGGCAGTGACCTTCCTTCCCTCTCCTTTCCCTCCAGCTCCCTCTGAACAAAAAAATAATCCAAGGAAGGAGGAAACTTCCCCTAAGAGGCTGCTGAAGACTGGGTTTCCTTCCTTCCTAAATGTTGAACAAGCTGATAATCAGAGTAAAAAATGTTTTAAACACAGATAACTCCAGAATCTACATGAGCTTATTCCAGTAACTCGCTGGGGGAAGCAGCAAGAGTATGAGAAGTCCTGAGGGGTCATGTCCAGTCTGAAGGCAAGGATGGTGGTGGCAGGAGGCGAGGTGAAGGATGACCAGAGAAAATCCACACGCTGCTCTGAGAGGAGAAAACACAGCACCCAGCACAGCAGGAATCCACCCACAGCCACTTGGAGGGCCCGGGCCACCGTGGAAAAGCTCAGATATGTGCACAGAAATTGAATAGAGGCCACAGGGCCCCATGTGAGGGCTCCAAGAAACTGTCCCCATTCCCAATGGGTGTAGGCATAAAAACCCAGACTAGGCACACCCAGATAACCCAGTTCAGGAGCCAAATCCTCATCAACCATTTGTAATGACATCCCCGTTCCCAAAACCACAAAACCATTAGTCACCAAGCTACAGAAAGGCAGCTAGAAGCTCCTGGCAAAACTGGCCTATTAGCCCTCCCCTGGCAAAAAGACTCCTGGTTTCACAACCCAGCTATTCACCCAAGACTGTCACATTTCACAGGATGAAACCAAGGAGTCTGTTACAAGCCCATCTCCACAGAACCAAGCAGAACCTGACCTCTTGCAAAAACTCTTAGCCGAGAAGAAAAGCCTAATCGAGGTTCGCCAAGTGCGAGGTTAATTACCCTACACACCAGCGTGATGGTATTCCTAAGAATGATGACTTAAGTCTCAGAGAACTAGACTTCCTTGCAAATTTACTTGGAACACATAACGCAATATTACAACAAAACAAAAACAGGCACCAATGCACACCAGCCCTTACCTGCTTCTAGAAAAGCCATGTGTCTGCCAGAAAGATGATCATAAAAACGTCCAAGTCCAAAACAGAATAGCTCACCCAAAATAGAAATTCCTATGAGACAGGGAAACAGACTGTGTATGCTATAAAAGAAGGGGCAAGAAACCAGAAATCCAGGACAATGACCCAGGAGAGCCAGGCAAAGCCAAGGGGACTCAAACCAAAATAAATTCCACATGGAACGAAGTTGTTCTTTTCTCCTCACCTTTTTATTTTGAAAAATTTCAAAGCCACAGGAAAGCTGAAAGAACAGCACAAGGCACATCCTAATACTGGCCCCGAGAGTCCCCCACTGCGAACACTGCTGTGTTTGTCTCTCACCTCTCCGTGTTGTGGGTATATGAGGGTACGTCTGCTCTTCATCCTCCGCCATTTGAAAGTAAGTTGCAGATATCATGATACTTTGCTAAGTGTCTCATCATGTATCTCCTAAGGCCATTCCCCTGCAGAATTACTTTCACCCCTGAGGAATTTATAATGGCCCAGTAGTAGTCTCTGGTGTACAGCTCATCTCCAAATCTCCCCAGCCCCACTCTCCTCATTTTGGCCTTTACTGTTTTTTTGTTTGTTTAAATCCTCACCCAAGGATATTTTTTTCCATTTAATCTCAGATAGAGCGGGAGGGAGAGGGAGAAAGAGAGAAACATTGATGTGAAAGAGACACATGGATTAGCTGCCTCCCACATGATCCCAACCAGGGCCAGGGATCTAATCCCAACTGAGGTACGTACCCTTGACCAGAACTGAACCCAAGACTCTGGTCCTCAGGCTGATGCTCTAACAATGGAGCCAAACCAGCCAGGGCTACTACTTTTTCTTAACCCTCACCCAAGGATATTTTTCCATTTATCTTTAGATAGAGTAGGAAGGAGGGAGAGAGAGAGAGAAACATCAATGTGAGAGAGACACATCGATTGGTTGCCTCCCACAAGACCTGACCGGGGTCGGGGACCAAACTGTAACCAAGGTACGTGCCCTTGACTGGAATTGAACCGGTGACTGTTTGGTATGAGGGCCTATGCTCTAACGGCTAAGCCAAACCGGCCAGGGTGCCTTTACTGGTCTTTAATCCAGGATCCAATCCAGGATCTCGGTTGCATTTGGTTCCGGCGCTCTTTCACCTCCTTTAGCCTAGGCTCACCAGCTTTGCTTGTTTATCACATGAACATTTTTTAGAGTCCAGAACCATTGTCTTTAGGATATCCCACAATTTGGATTTGTCTAACTGCTCTTTAGGTGAAATATTATGGTCCGAAACTGCCACCGCCGATGTTGTCAGCATCCCACCGGAGACACACAGGCCGGTCTGCCCCGTTCCTGGTGATGCCAGGTTTGATGCCTGGGTTATAGAGCAAATTTTTAAATGTAAAGAGAACAGACTGATTATATTAGAAGAAAACACAGGCAAGAAAACAGTGGGGGAAGAAAAGAATATGAAATAAAACCCAGAACTGATAAAAGAAAATATTTAAAATTCTGATTATATAAAAAGCAAACTCTCTGTATGGAAAAAAAAATACTATAATCAAAAGAACAATGACAAATTGTGGAAATATGTGTAACGTAT